AATAATTATTTCAATTGGAACGGATGCAGGACTATTTGCAAACTATTTTTGAACGTTCACCATTAGACTTTACAAATGTGACCTTAATTTATTGGTTTACGATTCCAATTAAGTGGTAAATACAAAATATAATGAATGTAGGTATAATTCAATGGTTTCAATTTTTATACAATTTCCAACATTTAATGCATCTGTTTCAAAAATATGTAGGAGGCGAAAAACTAGAGGTTTATACAGTCTTTGCATGTTATGGTTTTAAATTGCTTATTATAAAGTACATACTTATTTTTATAAATAATGTTTTAATGGAACATCTTACCCACCTATGTTGTCTCGGTCTAATGCACCAAATGACACATTTTACGTTAAAAATAAAATAGATCATGCTGAATGTAAAATTTGCTATGTAATGAGTCAGTTAGACAGAGACAACTGACAAGTGAAAACGCATGCGAAATAATAACTATTTAGACACATAATAATTAGTAGGCATATGCATAGTCATACATATACAGTTGTGTTAATACTAATGTCAAAACAGTTGCAAAATATGTAATTATAAAAAATAAGAAAATGTTTAAAAGGCTACAAGAAATGGGAGGATGGTAACTGCTTCCATCGACACCCACTACAAGACGTCCCTGCATTAAAAATCACTATATTGTAAAAATATAATTAATTTAATTGTCAAGTTGTAAACATGCATGAACAACTATATAAAAAAATATTTTAATTTTTTTGAGGATTCACAAGAAATGAGTTGTAAAAATAGCTCCGCTCAGAATCTAAAATGGTACGTTGCACAATTGCAGCTAGTTAAATTAATCATCCATTCGTGATAATGATCGAGATAAACTCTGCACGAGATTTGGAATAATTTCAAATATCTCCACTTTAAGCCAGCACAGAAGCTGTTCCCCGATAATTATTGTTTTTATTTTCATTCCGGACACTGTAGTCTGTAACCATTGGGTATACGGAACAATACGAACACTATCGATACAACGAATATAATAATAAGTGCATGGGACAGACAACAACCACAACAATAGACGATGAAATACAAAAATCGAACGATACCACCACACTACGTGTTTATTAGTCGGTGTGGGTTAGACGTCGATGGAGTATATTATATGTGGATGATAAATGACCGGCGCGCCATCGATGTTGGCTATAAATATCTATTTTTGTACTACATTCTCTTGAAATCCGACGCACTAAACCGCACCGAAAGCAATGCTTGTCGTTTGATGTGCCGTATACTGCTGTACATTAAACAAGACTACAACTGCAGTATAATTTAATATACCATCAAAAGTGATATCTATTTTGATGGAAGATTTGTGTTTAAATATTAAATTCTATCGTCCTAAATTGAGGAAAAGAAAATATGTTTTCCTAAACTTTTTTTTATTGATTTTGGATGATGAGCTGTGAAATATAATGATGCAGACAGACGGGTCCAGTATAAGAACTATTGATATTTTTTTAATGAAATTTCAGTATAAATTATCATAGGTATTTCAACTATAGATTTAACGAGAGATGAATTAACCCGTACCTAAAATTTTCACTGTAAATCCTGTATTCATAAGGCATTTTAATTATAAGTTAAGGAATTGATATAGGACAATTTGATTTTAAGGGTGGAGAAGGATTAATTTGATACAGATAATAGTTCTATTGGCGGAACGATTAATGAAAAGCGAGCATTGCGGGATGAAAGAAACTACACCAAAACTGCAGGGGTAAAATACACGACAGACTGTGGTTGAGCCGCCCTAGGCACAAAGCGTGTTTTGAATGACCCAACCACCACCACCTAGATTATTTGACTGTTAAAAAACGACTTGCATCTTATTATAGGTTTGAAACCATAGAGTATACTCGTGTACCAAATACCAATCATATGCACTGCGGCGTATTTGTATACGTAATAAATGAAGATCGAAAATTCGAAACCACAAGTGTGACAAACAAACTAGGAGAGGAAAAGAAAAATTCACCGTGGTCCGTTGGTTTTCGCGAGGGAGATGACAGTATTCGCAGACGACTCCAGCGTGGATAAAACCAACAAAAACACGACAGGAAAAAAACCGACGACATCAACGACAACGACAGCGAAAGTCCATAAAAGTAAGTTTCCAAGTATATATATAATATACGAGTCGCGCGCGCGATGAACACACACTCACACACACATAATATATATTATATACATCGCATACCCGAAGGACGGCTCTGCCTGGCCGGCCGGCCGGAACCGACGACGACGCCGACCGGATGGGGCGTATAAAAAGGTCTTGTATCCGGTGCCAGTTTGACCATTTGACACCCCTCGACGGCGGCGGCCACGGCGTCATCGCGCAGTGTTGTATATATACACACATGTGTGTACACACAGATACGGAAGAGGATGGGGTACCCACACACACACAAACACGCACACGCACGCGACAATGCCTCTACTTCCGCCGGCCGCCTCTCTTGTAGCCGCCGCCGTCGTCGTCGGATGCTGGAAGTTCCGGTCTCGTCGGACCTAGTCGGGCCAGCGCACGCGTCCCCGCGTTGTTCTTCGGCGTTATTGTCGTCGTCGTCGTCGTCGTCGTCGTCGTCGTCTACTGCTGCTGCCGGCCGCAGCGTTTGTGGCGAGGCGCGAGCTCGTTTATATAGTTGAATTATCGTGCGGAAAACAGTTGTTTTTCCTCCGCCGTCCGTCTCCTATATACATGTGGCTCTCCGTATTATAACTGCTTTTTTGTCCTTTATTTATTTATTATTATTATTATTATTTTTTTTTGCCCGCGCGCGTTCAACATAATAAATGTCCCCACCGGCAGTCTTCCGTTCGCGACTCGTCGTCGTAAAAAAAAAAAGTGCTTTATTATGCCGCCGAAGACGCGTGGCGTCTCCTACACCGTAATATATATATATATGTGTGTGTATATGTGTACGTATAAGACAATAAGACGAAATAGCCGACACAAACTGACCGTAAATATTTATGTGCGACCGTTCTATAACACAAAATGTTCCTTTTTATATAGGTACGTTTCCGTGACGTACGCGATTATTGGCTATATATATACCTATATCTTATTATCTATAGGCTGTTGGCCATAACCATATTAATGTGTAGCCATAGCCCGCCTTAACTATTTATTATTCTTCTTTAAATATAATTTTAATATCGGCTTCTATTGCAGCATGATATTGTGATGCACAAATACTAAATATTATTACGCAAGGTGTACGTACTAAAAACAAAAATTTGTTTTCATCAAGGTTAGGTACAAATAATACATTTTTTAGAAAAATCAGATCTGACAAATCGTTAAATTACTCGAACGTTTTTAGTAAACGCAGATAAAAACATTGGACTATCCGCTACATGTGTTAATTTCGAAAAAAGGTTTAAAAAACGTTGATAAATAATATTATATTTTAGAAAAAATCTTGTAGGGATTTAATATAATAATATACTATGCATTACTACATTACACCGGGCTCGTCTGTAGTATTAATAATAACAAATGAAATATTATATTATATCGTGTCGACTTTAACAATTAGGCACGCTTTACCTCTTTTTATACGTTCTACGCGATCTGCGTGTAAGGCCATTATTATTATGATTGTACAGTATTCCTAATGTACCTATGTATTTATTATAACGTGTATATCTACTCCACGTTTTGAAAATATGACGTAAATCAAGAAGCAACTCGTTTTCGCGCTCCCGACGCGGTACGAATTAATTTATTATATAGTTACCAGTATAATAACAATGAGTATGACAATTTAATCGCATGTGGTAATAACCACGGTATAATTGCAGTGGTAAGAAAATCCAAATATATATCAAAGCATAATACTGTGTTTCATAATATGTAATTCTCGATTAATTTTAAATATCAATCCGCAATAAAGCTCCAAAGTCATTCACAATTAAAACCAAATTTACAATTTGTTTCGATCAACTCGTATATTTAAGTGACTTCTCAATATTACTAAAATCTACAATAGCCTATATAAGTACCAAAGATGTTAAGATATTCAATAAATACACTAGCTGTGTGCTCTCTGAACCGCAAACAACAACAAATCGCAAATTAGCATGAGACAGCATTGTTGAACAGTTTCAGTTAACTTAGCCGGAATGAGATTAATGAACTTATAAATTAATTTAATCCGACAGAAAAAACACGATAATATAATACCAATCGTTGTGTTTTATTTTATATGTGTTCATATATTGTAATAAAAGGTGTTTGGACTATTTCGTTTGGATGTTATTCCATCAATATGAGTCGTGAATTATGTGCGAAAAACAAATACATACCAGACATTAAGAGATGATGAATAGGAAATAATATCACACGGTGAAAGTTATCGGAAGACAATTCTAAAAATTATAATTTCCCCGTCGACACCAGTGCTACAATATTAAAATATCGCCGTCCCCCGACACAAATTTCTTTACAACAATTTAAAACGTCAGCGGGTCGTTGTATTGCCTATTCAGAGCGCCTTTTGTTCAAATTATATAGATATTGAAGATTAATTTCGCTATTTGGGGATTCGTATATTTTACGCAGTACCTTACAACGATATATCATTATTACTTACATACTATAATAATATTTCGTAAAACAAAATGCATGCAAATAGAACGAAAAATATACATCAATATATTTTAAAACATTCACTAATGTTTAATAAGAGAAATAAAATAGAAAATAGAAATATACAAACGAATATATTTGTATTTTTTTTAAAAATAATTATTCGCATGGCTAGAATGAAAAATTGAGTAAAATTTTTAGTATAGATTATAATATCTACCAGTAAAAATATTCGCGTTAATGTTTAAATTTATTTTGCGTTATTATCATTTATTCGTTGAGTATTTATATATTTCTATTTAATATCCACGTAAGTATATATATTATAAATTATTATTATAAGATAAAACTCATGCTTTCAAATGATCTCACCTTTTTCATTGTTGTTGTCATATATTCCACTTAAGACTTCTGAAAAAAAAATGTAAAACAAAATCACCCCAGTCGCTTATGATAATTTAATACAAAAAAAAAAATATAAAATATAAATAAATAATAAAGACATTATTTTGTTGACAATGTTCCCAAATCCTAATTTTATAGGGTGTGTTATTGAAAAACTAATTAAAGTTACGTTGTCGTCAACCACAATGAGTATCGAATCGTAAAAATGTATAAAATGAATATACTGTAGGTATAGTACTCTATAGATGCGCTCTACAGGGTATTTGATATTTCATCAAGTTCGTCCTCGTATAATCTATATATACTAGACAGCCTATATCGAATATTTGTATACTTCTCTATCCGCCTTATGATTCAGTTAAAAAAATTATTTAAATACTTTTAAAGGAAATGAATAGTTAAGCTTTTAAAACTGTAACGTATACATAAATAGTTATGACAAGGTACCTCAAATGTTTAATGTAAGAGAGAAATAAATGTTAAAAGTGATTTATTTTGAGTTAAAATATTTATTAAAAACTGTACAAAATTGAAAATCATGGTTGGTTAAAATGTTAATTTGAAAAATTATTTAAAAATAATAATAATATACTTAAAATAAATAAATATCAATAAGCAATAATGGATGAAAGAAATTGAATAAGAATATAAATTGCATTGTAAACCACAAATCATTATCAATTCACAATTTTAATATTAAGGACCGCTGGGTTAAGCTGTTACGTGTGTCCATCGTCACAAGGCTCATAAACAACAAATAACAATACATATTTTGTTATACCTACATGATACGAACGAGAACAATTGTTGTAGGTACAACAAAAGAACATATTTCATACTTATAAATCGTCGCTGAACAAGCGACACCACTTATCTCACGATTTGGTCAAATTGTATTTAACTTAAATTACTGTTCATAAATTAATTTTCTAGATTTCCTGTATAATATAATAGTAATAAAACTGAAATAGGTTGTGTTGCCTCTTCTTAATAATAAAACATACATATAATAGTAAAATATTTCCCCGAAGACTTGTAGTATTATCGTTTAATACAACATGCCGGAACAAAACTTTCATGAATCAAGTATTTAAGATTTATACATAAAAATATATAGATTTTCGACCTCTACTCAAAACTAACAGTTTTATAATTGAACCTGTCTCGTCCACGTTTCTCATTGGTTTTAACTTTTAAAGGAGAATGAATAAATTGCGAATGTTATTATTATTCCTTTCCGAAAATCACATTATATACATGGTAAGATTGTTTTATAAATTTGTTACTTGAAGACGGAAACGGCAAGTAAACCAGATTTCGGACGCACAATAATCAGGTGAAACAATTTGACTATACACTGCGATGTTGCATCGATTCACACGTTGAAACCTTGTTCATTACCGATCCATAAATGACGGTTTTTATCATTTTCAACACATTCAATAACAATTTTAATCGTTGGATTAGAATGTCGCAAAGTTTGAAAACCAATATTGCATATAGATGAACAGTATATTTGTTGCTTTTTTCCGAGCGGCACAAAAAAAAAAAAATAATAATAATAATGAAAACCAAAAGCAAACGTAATACATTATATTGACTAATAAAACCCAGTAATAAATAAACGGGCCATCAGAGTTGTCTGCGACGAAACCGTGTGGGGGTGGAACTTTCGTATACATGAACATAATAATATATCGTACGTATATAAATTGGATCGTCGGGGTGAGTGACAACCAGCGTGTACGAATGGGCGGGTAAACACGCAAAAGTCGAAAGGAATTTCAATGGATGGGGTGGCGGTTGCTGTCGGGGACGAGGAGCACATGAAATATATTTTTAACGCAATGTCGACCAAAATCGGCGACAGTTTTTTTTTTTTTTGGGTGTAAAGGGAAGGTGTAGAGGGAAGAACAAAACAGATACCTACACACTAAAATACGGGAAAATCGTTTTCGTTAGTGTATGCAACAGTACAAAATCGGATATAATAATATCAACAGCGTATTATATGTACTTATAGGTAGGTAATACTAAAGTGAACTGGGACAACAATTCCAGGAGGTGGCGCGTAGGATGGTGATGACTAGTCTAGTGGCTACAAAGAGAGTTGATGAATGCAAAGCAATAACCGATGCGTCGTAAAATCGTATCTATAAGAATTGCCAAATTAAATATATTTTTTATTTCTGGAGTAAACTCAATTAATTAAACCAATCCATCAATTGTAATATTAAAGATCAGTCAATTTAATATCCGGAGTCTTCCTTGATGAAAAACTAACCTGGAAAATACACATAAACAAAATAACAAACCTATACAATAATGAAAATGTTACAACCCCTGCAAATACACTATAGCTCAACTCTACGAATTAAATGCTCACTACTACTATTATTTACATCAGTAATAGGACCACTCTTATCATACGCATGTTCAGTGTGGTCCACCACATCTTAAATAAACATTTTAAATCTACAGTCAAAACGGTATACATTTCTCAGAATAGCTCTAAAAGCCCCTTGGTTCATGCGCAACAAGCAACTGCACAACAACACAAGAATACCTTCTTAGATATTCGGATCCAAAAAACAATTCAAAAAATTCATTTAAGACTTAATTCATCTGAACAAAATCTCCAGTATAAAATTAGGGAAAAAACAAAAAAAAGCCGATTGAAACAACTCCTCCATCAAGATGTCCTGCTGTACCTTCGCCATCAACTTAATTTTTGTAATTTCACATTTACGAGTATATTCATAATATTGATCAGATCTGATAATCACAATGTTTTTGTATTAATTCTACATAATAATACGTTTATGTTGAATAAATTAAATAAATAAATAATAATAAAAATTGTTTAGGTAACTTTATAACGAGGTCCTAATGTAATAGTGTGCTGTGGTGTTTTTTTATACATCCTCAAGGTATTAAGACGATGAGAAAACACTGCGGCTCACCCGGTACCCACACACACACACACACCTAAGTGCCGTAGAGAGATAATATTATAGGAAACTCTCTCGTCGTAACGGCCTCGGGACTAAGTCGAGGGGTGATTTACAAGGATTGTGTGGATGCGTTACATAAAGTCCGTTTTGCCGGTCAATAAAAAAAAACCCAACAACAACGTTGTTGTTGCCGTATATCTGCGGCGTGTGCCTTTTGCTCACGAGTAATGTAATCGGAGGCGCACGTCAATGAAACAGGAGTATTGTATAGGCAATTATTCAAGCATAATATTTTTCCCTTAATCTATATACTTAAACGAAAAAGGAGATTAGTGGGAGCAAGTCGTTATCGCACTATCTTGGCTATAATACTAGAACACTGAAAACTCAAGAACACTGACAAAATAACATACACTAAAAACAATGGTTGTAATTTATTTTTAAATGTTGTATTTTTAAGATATTTACTTATAGTTATGTTCAAAATAATTTTTGATTTCAAAACCTTTTTTTTTTTTTTTTTGACAAATATTACCAAAAAAAAAAAAAATACAAGATATAGGGAAAGATATGAATCCATTCGTTATGCCAATGTATCCATCAAAAGCATCCTTCGACACAGTAATGTACTCAAATTAGTGTAGTATACATCCGACTGAAATGAATTAGATTAGTTCAATAAAATGTGTAAAGCATATCCTACGTAAAACCTCTCATTAACTGCAGTGTTACTTATTATAGAGCCACAATAATTATTTTTTACTGCATAATCACAATGTTCAACACGGTTCCAAAACAATACCTATCTAAAAAAAAAAGTATCTCCTTTGATCTGGAGCTCATTTGAAATGGTTCGAACAAAGCTCAACTTTGAAAGTCTCGAATACTGTTAGTAGTACTCATAACTATAATATATAATATATAAATAGGCGTGTTCGAACGGGGCCATGCTATAGTTTTCAAGACGAGATGAGAGAGCTGGTGGGTGTAATGTGTATTAAATATTGTCACGGGTGGACAGGTATGGACGAGTATACGCACGGCGATTCACCCTGTATACAGCATGATTAGGTATACGTGTAGGTACACGTATTCGCGAGCGTTTGCCACCCAACTGGATCTCCGCGGATGTATCGTCGTCGTCCCGCGCACGTAATGTATCGGTGCCAGTTTTTTTTTTTTTTTTGTTATCCTCCTGTACGAAAAAACAAAAAAACAAAACGAAAACAAAAACTGGTTTCGGTTTTGCTCCCATATAATGTTCCACACACACACACACTTCCAATATAAATTAAATTATTCATTTTAATAAGCGAATTTATTGCTCGCGGATTACTATACCAATACCGCGGTATAATAGTGCTCGCGCCCACGAACGACGCCAATCGTCCGCGGTGTAATCGATTTTGCACATAATATAGGTTTTTCGACAGCAATCGTGCGCTTTAAACTATATAATGTACTTAAGTTTGTATAGAACATAGACATTGTACAATAATAATGTGGCAACACAGGTCACATATGAACGGGCCATCGCACCATAGTCACCGTCTCGGGGAAACGGGAAAAACTGCACGGTGGCCCACCCTGTAGGTATACCTGTGCAGTGTATACTCACATATACCATACGTTTTGCACACACACACACACACACACGCACACACACAAATATATATATATATATATAAATATGTTCTTGAATAAACATTCCGGAAAACTGGTATAATAGTCCAAGGAGAATCTATAAGGATAAAAAAAATAAAAAAACATAACATAACCGAACGTTTTATTTTATGCTAATTTCCTGTTCAAGTGTGTATAATGTATAATCTATATATATATATATGTATGTGTGTGTGAGTATATGTGTGCGTATTTTGTTATAACTGCTCGACGCTTCAAAATCGAATAATTGTGAATAAACGAGTTTTTGACATTATTTTTTTTTTATCATTCAAATGTTTCGCCACTTAAAGAATATAACATTGTGTACCCATCGCCCATACATAAATAATAATAATAATAATAAGTATGAATAGTCATAATAGTTGT